ACCCATGTCTTTTTCTTTCTTTTGTTTTTCTTCATTAGATTAGATAGGCTTTGTTTTGTGCTAACTAGTTTTGAAGTGTATGCAGGAATTGGTGTGCATTGCAGGGATTGTGCAAGAAAATTTGGCTAAGTGTCACAAAAAGTGCGGACCGCACCAGAATAATGCGGACCGCACTGACACTCTGCGGTTGCACAACTTTGTATGCAGCCGCACAACTAGAATCTCAAAAATTCATGGTCTCTGAAGTTGGTATGTCAAAAACGCTAAACAAATTGCGGCAACACACATTTTTGTGCGGTTCACACTAATTCTGCGGCCGCACACATTTTTGTGCGGTCCACACTAATTTTGTGTCCGCTCTCAGTTTTGTGCGGTCCGCAGAAGGACTTCATAGGAGCATGTAAGGAGTGCGAACCACATCAAAATTATGCGTCCGCACTCAGGTAAAATTATGGGCCCGGCGGGTCAAAAATCTAAATAGCGCCTTTCTCTTCTTTTTACACTTTAAGGCCCCTGAACCCCAACGCCCTAAGCAACTACAGTGCACTCCATTAGCTTGAAATCTTTTCACATTTCATCTCCTAGATTCTCACCTGCATCACTCCTTACTGGTATGCTCATTCCTTCTTTTGATTTTTTTCATCTGTTCTTAGCTTAGCTCTTTTGTCTAAAGTTAATTTCATGCCTAAATATGTCAATAGTTAGTCATTCTTATAGATCATATGGGTAACGTATTAAATGTTAATTGGGGTCTGGCTAAGTAGCCAAACATGTTTAATTGCTCAAACCATGTCTACATTGTGAAAATATTGCATGAACCCTAAGTCACTGCTCGTAATATTCAAATTATGGGCCGCACTCATTTTTGTGCAGTCCACACTTTGAGCTTTGTGGCCGCACACATTTTTGTGCGGTCCGTAGCTCTCTAAGCTAGGGCATCAGTGTGCATGAAAATGTGCGGTCCGCAGTGGACTTGTGCGGTCGCACTCATTTTTGTGCGGTCCGCACTGATGAAACATTAAAGACCCCAGTAGTCTGAACCTGGGTTGTGAGGCCGCAGTCAAAATTGTGCGGTGAACTGGGTAGTTTGCGGCCGCACTCACTTTTGTGAAGTCCGCTCTGCCCTTCTGAGACTGTTTTCTTGCAACTTTGAACAATGATTCTGTATACATTTTGAGCTTCAATTCTAATTGATTTCTATTACTTATGTGTTGCAGACAATGGTTCGATCATGTGACAAATGAGATATATAAAAAGGGAGGGCAGAACCCTCCCGAGGCCTAGGTCGAGGCAAAAGCAACCTACCTCTAGCACTTCAAAGGGTCATAAGCAAGAAACCAACCACATGCAGAGTTCCTGAACCATCCGACACCAGTGAGTATGTCCCATTTGGGGAAGCTTCTGAGGGTAACTCCGAGCAAGCACAGTCGGAAGCCCAATCACAACAAATTCAGGGCAGATTCCACTTGGTAGATGAGTCATCTTCTGCTTCCAGTTCGTTTGAAGGTTCGAAAGAGGGTAGCCAAGACTCTGAGCCCTCTTCCTCACCTGCTCCAGCTGCCCTAATTAATGTGGACGATGATGATGATATCCTAAATGATGGTAGAGGGGGTGATACTACTGTGGGGGGGTTAGAAAGATCAAGAAGGCCAGAGCTATGGGAAGATAGATTTGTTAGTACCAATGCCTTTGCAAAGTTTAGAGAATGGTGGCCGCAAAGGTCGCTCACTTTTGAGCGACAATTTTTGATGAAAGACTTGAACAAGCACAACCCCATTGTCCTTGTTCCAAGAGCGGAAAGGATGGAAATGGTTCACCAACGACGTCCTAGATGCAAATGAGTACCTGGTCAAGGAATTCTACGCAAATGTTGCTCACATCAAAAAAAGTACTAAGGTGACAAAAGTGTAGAATCTGAAAATCCGCTTTGACTCTTGTGCACCGAACAAATATGTGGGATTTGAAGAAGTAGAAGCAGTGCAATACTTGGAAAAACTAACTATGGGTGATGCAACTCGTCTGTGGTTACCTGAGTTTCTGGCAATCCGAGGGTCAACACCTTTGTGGCTCACAACTGGGGTTCCAATTGTTCGGGCCACCCTAAATATTGAAGCAAAAGGGTGGCAAACGTTCGTGTGTAGCCACATTGATCCATGCCTCAATGAAAACATGCTCCCACTTCCCCGTGTAGTCTTGGTGGCTTCGATTTTGGCTAGGTATCCAATAAATGTTGGTGTCATCATGTCCACCAACATCACTTTAGTTGTCCAGAAGGGTGAAAGATTCTATCCATACCCAAACTTCCTCACAGAGTACTTCAAGGATCAAGGGGTAGAGCCGAAGCATTATGATATAGAAGTAAAGGCCAAGAACCTTTCTCATGGTACCACCTTCAGGGAGCTGACAACTCCAAATTCAAGGGTAAATCTACTGCCTCCACTAGCTAGTCTAAGGAGCCTTCAGCATCTACATTACCTCTCATAGCAGCCGGCCCTTTCACCTGGACAGCGGATATGCCACCATCTTCCACTACCAGACTATCAGTGCTATTACCGTGGTAGCCTCCTCTACATATCCTCAGACTGCGCTGCGAGTCTCCCAGAAATTGGCGAGTCTCAACAACTGGATGTAGGCAACTACTACAAAGCTGACTAACATATCCAGTTCTGTTGTAGCACAGTCCTCCGCCCCTGCAGTCCCAGCAGAGCCACAGGTACCTCCGTCAGTGGAGGAAACATTGGAGAAAATTCTGGACAACCATAAGACCATATTGGATACTTTAGAGACGCATGGAAAGGTCATCAAGGATTTGGTCAAACAGGTCAAGAAGATGCGGAGGTCTTAGGCATCAAAGAAGTTGGTAGAGAAGTTGAGCAAAGAGATTGAGAAGATTGCATATGTTGGAGATCTGCCACTGGATTTACTCATGGAGGGTGACCCAGCAGCATAGACAACACCAGCAGCAGTACCCGAGGCACTTGAGGCAGCAGCCGGCCAGTCTGAGGAGCCGGTTGTAACTGCCCACACTGCTGAGGAGATGATCCAGATGCTCAACAACCCAATTGTCCCTCAGCCATGAGATGATGAGATTCAGCTAGAGGAGCCCGAGGGTGTTGTGGATGCCATGGAGACTGAGACCACCTAGGGAGTTTTCTTCACTCTCTAACCTTCCCTGTTCTTATTTTTATTAAGCATTAGGGACAATGCTTATTTTAATTTGGGGGTGGTCTATTTTGATTGATTTACATTGACATTTCGCATGTAATAACTATTACACTATTTTTCTTTTATCTTTATTAACCCTTTGGTATGTATATATTTGTCCCTTTAAAATTGATGTAGATATTCATTTCCCTTATGTATATATTCATTTGACTTCGATTTGTACATTCATTTATCTCGCTTTCCGTAGTTTATTTTATAGCTTTTTTAGTTTGCTTTTTCTTAGTAGTATAACTTCTTATTTACTTTAGTAGCATCTTTTTAATTTGTTAGCTTTTTGTTTTTTACGTTTTGAGTGAACAATAAGCCTTTGGTTTTTTAATGTCATGGTTCTTTCCAAAGGTAGATTTTGTGTGAACGCGTGGCTCTTCCCAATAATGGATGGCGTGACAACCTTCTTAAGGGATTGAGTATGTTTTCTTTTATGTTTAGACAAATATAATAGTAATAAATAAAAGGGTTCCAAGCATGCTTCACTTGGTACCAACTCATTTACCTATGATTGTATGGTTAAAAACAAGTTGTTGGTAGGAAATAGTTCTAGTTGTGACCTTTTGACTCTTGTGTGGACTTAAACAATCATCGAGTGGTTCAGTCGAGCCATTTGTGATTCTCAATCTTAACTAGGGTTGTTGTGGGCCCTCGACTCCATTCTCTTTAGCAATCCATAAGCATGAGAGGTGAGATGTTTAGTCGCAAGTCCAAGTGCTCGTGCTAAAGGTTTAGAACTTGCCCCGAATATTTTTCTAGGCGAAATTCTAAGTGTAGTTTGGTTTGAGAAATGATTATAGGCTCTCCTTGATCCAATTTAAAATTTAAAATCTTCCATAGCCTACCAATGTGATATCCCTAGTCAACCCCTTCGAACCATAACTAACAGAGTCCGCTCATCGAGGTCATCTAGGGCCAGCCTCAATAAGTGGAGGGACTAACTGTATTGGTAAAAATTTACCCTAAGGGAATTTAGCACAATGAGAAATTAAGGAAAATGATGCGGCCGAGGTCGACAAGTAAACAATGAAAGTCGTAGCCAGACAGTTGACGATAGTCGAGGTCGAGCACCAAGGATAGAATATTAGAGCTGATTAGGGGTACGTCACATATAAATAGAAAAGGATATAAGGGGATAGGGTATGTAATATTTATTTTCTTAAGAATACTTTTTGAGAAGAAGATTCTCTCTCTAGAAAAGATACAACTTCTACCTTTTTACAAAGATTTCATCATTTATTGTCTGGTACTTTTCCATCAGATCCGAGAATAGTTCCAATATTCTAAGGTTGGCTGTCATTTATCACCATCGGAGAGAAGAATAATCCACCCCATTCAATATTGGGTGAAATATTCTCCTTATTTACGCAAATACCAGTTATTGCTATTTATTGCTTGTTGTTCCTCTATCATTGCCCAAATCTTTCAAAATATTAAATGCACGTTGATTTTAATTCTTCACCAATATTATCCCACGTTTTTCTTGCCAACTAGTTCTAAATTTAGATATACTATTATTAACTAGGTTTAACTCTTTATTACACAAGATTTAATAGTTTAACCCAAGGTTTACACTTTTTGGTCAAACAACCCTTAGTCATATTTTTCTCTAGACCAAATTTGACAATTAAGAAATCCCATACTAAGTTATATTTCATCATGTAGGTTAGGTGCACGCAATGTTCAAATTTACCACTCTATTTTACCTTTTGCTCCCTTTCCCTTCCTAATTTTTTTATTTAAAAAACAAAATACATTCAAACAAAATGACCTTCTCCTTCAGTAATTGGCCAGCTACATGTTTTACAAGAATAAAGTGGGATTTCAGGTATCAGTTATCAGAATGCCGCCACATCATATCATCATCTCGTCCGTTACCGGACCCGACCCGTAAACTTCCTCTCCTCCCTCCTCCCTCGCGCCCTTTCTTGATTTCTGATAACCCACAACTAAAAGAAGGGGTAAGAACCTCAACTCTTTATACCAATTGAACGGTTGAGCTTATTATTTTGAATAAACCCTTTCGGTTCATTGCCACTATTATTCTACAGAAAATCGAAGAAAATGGGAAGCTCAAATGCTGGAGTATCGGACGATTCCACAACCATCTCTGATGAAGTTGGTGGCACCACTCATGATACTGACATTGACGTGGTTGACTCCAGTCGTTTTCAAGAAGGTGAAAGAGTACTCGCCTTTCATAGCCAACAACTTTATGAAGCTAAGGTACACGCTCCTCTTACCTTTTCTTACTTTTAGCCATTTTGCATTTGGGTAAAATAAAATAAACATGGATTTTGTTTTGACTTATATGTTTTTAATGTTGTTCCTATCTAAGGGTAGATTGTTATTTTTTCAATTAAAGAGGGCAGCTCCGTACACTAAGCTCCCGCTATGCACAGGGGTCGGAGAAGGGCCGGACAACAAAGGTTTATTGTACGCAGTCTTATCCTACATTTCTACAAGAGACTGTTTTCACGGCTCGAACCCATGACCTCCTGGTCACATGGCAGCAATTTTATCAGTTATGCCAAGACTCCTCTTCTTATTTTTTTAACTAATGATTTAAATAAGAAATTTGATTGAGTGGGTTTGTGAGAAGGCTTTAAAAAATAGAGATGATAAGGGATAAGATTATAAATATAGATATAAGGTTACAAGAGAGAGATAGAAGATCACAATTAAGGAGGATATACGAATAGACCCTTAGGGTTCGTTTGGTATGAGAGATAAGGATAATTAATCCTGGGATTAAATTTGAGATGAGTTTATCCTACGTTTGGTTGGGATAAAATCGTGGTATAACTAATCCCGAGATTAGTTATCCCGAGATTATACTTTTTTTATCCCCATGGAAGGGTGGGATAACTAATCCTGAAATAATTAATCATGGGATAACTTGTTTCCCAACCAAACAACCCCTTAGAGTTCAAAATCTCTAGAAAGCATAGGATGTAAGGTAAAGTGATAACATGATTAGAGCATATTCTCAATTACTAGGTATTGTTCATATAGATCTTTTTATTCTATTGGATCCCAAGAGATTGTAGGTCCTTCGAAACAACTTTTTACCGGGTGATTTTAGGGCTATCTCGTCCCCCCTTATAACACCTCGACTAAGACCAGTGCATCTGGTAGTCGACGCAGGACATGACCAAACAAATCTCAAGCGACCTCGTCTCATTTTATCCTTGATGTGTGCTACTTGAACCTTAAATCGCAAATGTGCTCATTTGTCTAGCCTTTTATGGCAGCACACCATCTTGACATCCACATCTCTGCAACTCTCATTTTATGGATGTTTTGGAAAGGAAATTTGATATTTTGAGAATTGCTGAATCTAGTTTTGCATCAATCTGCTACGTCAACAACCTCTTGCCATCTGCATCTTCAATCATTTATCTCAGAATCAATTTTGACTCTTTTGTACGTCCATTGAAGAAAATTGCCTAATATCATACAACTCTTTAGATCAAATGACACCATAGATTATATTGTAGCGAAGAGAAAATAGGTGAGAAAATAAAATATACTTGTGAAGTAGATTTTTATTTTATTTAGAGGATAAGTCGTTGATCATGTGGACCGAGAAGGGGTTTGGTTCATGAACCACATAGCTGGTATCAAAATTTGACCTTTCCAGATGATTTTTGTTTTCTTCGTGGTTTAAATTCCAGTCTATAATAACGTGTTTTACCAGTTAGATTAGTTGATCTTATGGTTAATGCCATTTTAACCATGAATTTTGTACTCATCTACTGCATTTTAATTTTCTTTTTTTGTGTGGGAAGATTCAAAAAGCTGAGTTTCAAATGAGGGAGTGGAGATATTTTGTTCATTATCTTGTAAGTATCAGTTTCCCTAACTCTATAACTTTTTAAAAGCTCCATTTATTTTACAGTAAAACATTGTTGTCATCTATCTTCTGTTTAGTTGGTAGAGAGTACCTCCTCATGGATATGAATGCGTTGCATGGGAGTGACAGAAGGTGATTGTTAGATATGTGCTATAACCATGCTTCTTTTTCCTTTTTCAGGGTTGGAACAAAAAGTGAGTACATCATTGTCAATTTTTTCCTCAAGCAGAAGTTTAATTTGTTCTACATAAAATTCTTGCTGGCGGCGAGTTTTCGAATTGACGTGCATCTGATTATCTGATAAGTCAACATATGGTTCTTTAAAGTCATTTGGCGTAGTCTATTGACCTCCCCTTATTCTAGTTCACCTTCCATTCAACTGACTCAGGTTCATTCTTTATAAACTGTTGACCTGCTTCTATTGTTCCCTTCTTTCTTAACTAAGTTTACTGAAATCAGAATTTTTTGTATGCTTCTAGCCTGTATTTTAGGTCAATGCTGTCTGATTACTGGTTTGGTATTGGTGACTGCAAGTTAGAAATCTTGGTTTATTACTTGGTAGCGCATAGATTGGTTTATTTGATTTACTTTCTATGCATTTCTCAAGGAACACATATATCTTTATTTCTCCCTCGCTTTTTAACAGCTGGGATGAATGGGTGGGCATAGATCGACTGATGAAACTCACAGAAGAGAATATTCAGAAGCAGCAGGAGCTTAAGAAAAAACAGGATACAGATAAGAGTTCAAAGGGTGGACGTGGATCACAAATGAAAACAAAAGGCTCCACAGGTTAGATCACTTGTACTCTACTGAATTAGCTATAGGGTGATTCTTTTCTACCCCTCCCCTTCTCTTTTCGTGGCAGACAGGTTAAGTTACTTCATTTTTTGTGTGATTAGAAGAGTCCATCTGTTGACTTTTGAAGAAAAATAGGTTCTTTAGGTTGACAAAAGCATTCTTTTCACTCTCCGGGTGTTAATTCATTTGCACAGGTTTAACCACCTGTGGTCTGAAATATTCCCTATTATGATGTGCTTGATGGGATTTTCCAGGAATACATGCTTTTTCTGCTGTTATCTTATTTTTCTCCATGCTTCTTAAATGGTTATCTGTTTCCTTCTTAACACGGGAATGAACTTTATAATGTACTTGAATGCATTCAGTTTTCGATTGATTACAGGGGGAAGAGGCAGAAAGCGAAAGAGTGATGTTCCGCACAAGGTACATATCTGGTCTAGTTTGCCTTTTCTGTTCTAAGGATCAGATGCTTATTTTTCTTTCTGCATCTCTATTCAGGTTTATTTTCCACTGTAGTACTGACATTCTATTGCCTAATACAAATGAAGGTTGCAATAATGAAGCGAGAGTCCTTTCTAACTATACTTTTTCTGTGAAAAATGTTCATTTATCTTGTCTAGTTTTTTAACACTTCTTAATAATCGACTTAGAAGTTATACTCTTACTTGTTTGTATCTGATTAAAAAATGGAAGCTAAACTTACATATTGAAAAGGATGTCACATCTGATGTTTTAGTCACACTTAATGCTGTTTGGGAGCAGCCCATTCGCATTGATTGCTACACTAGGACCCAGTAAGTTAAGGTTATTCGGTGTCTGCGGCTCCAATTGGCAATAGTTGACATCATTGGATGAAGATCTATATTAAAAATTTGAATGCAATTAAATATTTTTAAAAAGCATTGTTTTGTTGTTGATCTCAAATGAAATGATGCAACTTTGCGGAGATGGGTAGCTAATTATAAAGATTACATGGTTTAGAAGCTAATTAGTTACTTCATGTATCTATAAATTCTCAAAGGTCATCTTTAAATGATTATGGATTGAGTAATCTCTTGAAGGAAGGCCTCGTTTTTCTTGATCCCAATTACTTCCGTGCTATCTTAATTTCCTTGGTCAACGACACTTGGTTGTATAATGCTGGTTTGCCAGTAATTCTTGTTTCATTTTATAAAAGCAAGGGTTTGTTTAGCTTTGGTTTCCTTTATCCCGATAGGTCTCTTTGTTGTATTTTCTTGATCAATTTAGATGTGATCATTTAGATTATAATCTAGTTGTTTTCCAGGACAAGTATGCTCCTCCTCCAGAAAAGCTTGTCAATATCCAAATACCACCACAATTAAAGAAACAGCTGATTGATGATTGTGAATTTGTCAACCACTTGGGCAAGGTAAAGACATTGTATAGAAGATGTTTTGAGGGTTTAGAAACTCCAAATTACTCCTTGAAAGCTAATTGTATAGTTTTGTTATATAGCTGGAGTAACCTCTCCCCTATTAGCTCCCCCGAATTATTTCTGGATTTTGTTAGCTCCCTAACACTAGCATAGGACCATCTGTACAGAGCTAACATATCATCTTTTGTATTAGTACCTGGACAGTGCTCTTTTGCATCTTCTTGATGCTTTTTATAATCTCTTACTTCATCAAAAAAAAGGTAAAGACATGCTAAATGCTCCAACTTCTTGGCTGTCTCCTAAATTTGTTGACAGGATATTTGCTATGCCATGTTGCTTGATTACTTTTCCTTGAAATATCTCCATACTCTCAATCCTACTCTCTTTTGTTTCTTTGTACTTGTAGTTAGTTTGGTGTAGACTGGGAGTTCTTTTTTTCCTTCTTTTTTTAAGTTAGAACATTGAGCATTTGGGGTTTACTCTATGAACTGCTGTTTATTAAACTCATATGTAATTTTCCTTTGTTGTGGGCCTTGAGTCAATTCATAATCTAGACTAAGGTGTACATCGCTTTCTTAATCTCCAATGAATTGCTTGATGTGAAAATGAATGTAGAATCACTGTCCATGAACAAAGAGGGATTAGTGATTACACCCTCTTATCTCCAAAATACTTTGCGACTTTGAGTTACTTTTTTTTTGTTCATGCAAAACACTTGATCTCTTTCAATAAATACTAAATTTAATTCTCTCTCCGATGATTCAAGCTAATTTGCTGATCGTTTTTCTCTCTCCAACAATACAAGTAATAGATTGATTCTACTTTGTTACTTCGGAATTGACGTGAAACCTCCTTAGCTAGAACTCTACTTTCACATTTGAAATTAAAATTCTGAACATCTCCCTATTTCAAAGTGTGTAATGACGTATTCAAACATCTTAGTCACAGTGTATGTTAGTCAAAGTAGGTCATGTCTTGTGGAATGAAAGTGGCAGATGGTCATTAAACAAACTTTTCCCAACTTCACTGTGATTCAACTGTTACGCTGTGGCTAAAGGATTTATTATACATATAAATGTGAATAACAATGTTTTTGGTGTTGACTGCGCTGGTAGCATTTATTTCCATTATCACCTCTTTTATTCTTGCAAGTTGGGGCTGAATGAGATAGTTGAGCACTTCATCTAAGTTTATACTGAAATAGTTAGATATTTAACTTAGTTGACATGACCAGAAGTAGGAGAAGTATCCTATTTGATCCTTCTCAGAACTCTCATTCTGGTGAAAAGGATGTCTTATTCTAAAAACAAATATTACTGAAACCTAAAAGAAGATGCTTTTAACCTACTTGACTTCACTTCATGAATAACATATACAGTGCTTTCTTTTCTGTTCAAATTTTGTGAATCTGATGTGTCTGGTTCTTNTTAAAGAAGTATCATGACTATCGGCTGAAAAAGGATGGAGTGTAAGTTTTCTATCATTTACGTCAACTTGAATGTTTCTCTAACTAATTGATATGTTGTCTATGTTATTTCCTTTCATTTCAATATATTTTACCCTTTTAGAATCTTTGTCCTGTTGATAATAATAGTAGAAAGAAGGCCACTGTTTTATGTATTGTTCTTTGAACTTGATTGTTATCAATAAAAATGCTTTCGTTGTTGCAAAGAATCTTCTTAGTCGATCTGTGAGTTGGACTGCAAACATATCCCTAGTTGATTTTTGGTGATACCGAACTCTTAGGAATATATTGCAGATATACCTTGCGTTATCAGCTTCATCTCTTTCATTTATCTTCTGAAGATGCAAGAATCTGATAATTTTTCTTCATGGAGTTTTAATATATTGATCTATTGAGTAACAATGATTCTGTTCATCACTATTACAAGCTTAATAACTAGTAAATTGAATTTACCTTAATTGATCTTGGGTGAAGGATATCTGATTCGGTTGGAGAGATTCTTAGTGGTTTGCAATGCTACTTCGACAAAGCACTGCCTGCTATGCTCCTTTACAAGAACGAGCGGGAACAATACCAAGAATCAATTAGAGATGATGCCGCTCCTTCCTCCATATATGGAGCCGAGCATTTATTACGGCTTTTTGGTATGTTCGGTTTTATCAAATTCTTAAGCAGTTGATGTTGCATGTGACAGTTTAGCTTCGTGTTTATGTTTGAAACTTAGCTACCTATATTCGTTGACTTCAAAGTCCTCATTTGTGGGTGTGGAATGAGCTAAAATATTCTGTTTGCTGACTTTGTTCCATCTGGCTATACAACTTTCATCCAGTTTCTGAGGTCAAGGAAACCTTCTGCTTTAATCTAATACCTTTTGTAATAAATTACATGGAGTAGCCATGAATATTTGTAGATTAATTATTTGGCTATACTGAAGCCATAAGTGGTGAAGACTAAATCCTATGTCAAGGTGTAAAATAATTTCTTTTAGACTTTTTGCATCAAAATTCAGTGTTGCTGAGGCGCAGAGTAGTAAAAGCTTTTGCAGCCTTATTATATTATATGTGTTAAGTGAGTGATACAGATGCTTGTGAATGGTTTTTCTGAGCTTTCAATGTCACTTCATGATTGTGAAGTTAATATTTGTTTAAACTTGACTTTCACATCCAACATCGTTACATACCCTTAACAGCTACTTCTCTTGTTATCTGCAGTTAAGTTGCCAGAGATTCTGTTCTACGCAAGTATTGAAGATGAAACATTAACAGAGTTGAGGCAGAAGTTACAAGACTTTCTCAGGTTTAGATATCTTATGTTTCTGACATGGTGGCACAGAGTTTCTTAACTTGGTTTTATCCCGTTGGAATACTTGCAAAGAATTTGAGAAGTGTGTATGTCCACCTAAAATAATAGTGTAGGAGAATATATAATGGCAACCTTAAACCTAAACTAAGTACTTAATCTTGTCAATAAAAAACTTATGAAGGGAAAGAAAAGAAAGAGTACTCCATCTAATAACTTGGAAACTACAGTTGTATTACCTAAGAATTAATAGAATGAATTATAATTAAAAGTTACTATAATAAATTGTTTTGCCCCCTTTGCTGTCTCTTCTAGTCTCTTCGGGTTGAAAAAATAAAATTTTGTCCTTAGTTTTGGCTTTCTGTGATTAATTGTGAATCCATGTAATCTTCTCGATGCTTCTTTATATTCATGGAGTTCCAAAGATAGTTGATTTGAACATAACTCAAGACAAATGGCAAAAGTGGACATTTGAGTTGCTATTCTTAGCAGAATTGTCATATCCGTGTTGGATCTCTTTGCTAAGAAGTTCTTCCAAATAACGCCACCTCTTCACAAAAAGAAGGTAGAGGCTTATTAGTTGAAATCATTAGTTTGTAAATTAAGACTTTAAATACCAATTTCTCATCTTCAAGGCCATCATCAGCAGGCAAGACATCAATATGGGAGGATCAATCATCATACTTAGAACCCTCATTAAATTAACTCATGATATCATAGATTCATAGTATTGATCATCTTCCATTTATACAAATTAAAAAAATGTTTAATCAATTTCTATGTTCTAAATATTTGGGAGGTTATTTAAGATCTTGTTATTTAGGATTGAGGAATTAGTGTGATTGAGGGATTGGATACAGTTAATGAGAAGCATAGAGAGGAACCAGAAGAGGAATCAGTGATAGATGAAGAAGGGAATAAATCTGAGGAAGAGGATCTAGAAGAGGAGAGCAAGACTAAAGAGAAGAATGATGAACACAGAGAAGAGGGAGAAGACGAGGTCGATGATCACGATCAAGAAAAGTTTGATGTAGAGGTTGATCAAGACAAGGAAAGAAGAGAAGATGATGAGAAGGCAACTGAGGAGAGAGATCCTGAAGTGAACGATAGTCAGGTGGAGGAAGAGGCCGCCATTGAGAGAAAAAGGGTTAGAAACGAGTTTTGGGTAATGGGGTGTTAAATCGGTTCGGGTCTTTTCGGGTGGGTTTGGATATTAGTGAGAAAATGGGTTAGGGTGTTTAACATGCTGCCACGTGTCCACGAAGAATGGGTCTGTTAGATGGAGGGGTAGATATGTTTAAACGAGTAACGGTAGGGGTAGATAGTGTCGAATAGTATAATGGACGGTACATACAACTAATATTTGATAGTATAGGAACACATATAGCCCCTTTTGGTAAAAAGAAGGTAAAGGCATATTTATTGAAATCATTAGGTTGTAAATTAAGACCTTAAATACCGATTTCTCATCTTCAAGGCCACCATCAGCAGGCAAGGCATCAATATGGACGGATAATATTCTTACTTAGAATCCCCATTGAATAACCCATGATATCACATGTAGCAACCCCTTTGGGAGGGTACTACTTAGGAAACAAATCTAATTTCCTACTTACAAAATATTAAAAGAGATTAATAAAAATATTCAGAATAATTTTAGTAGCGGAAGTAGGCAATATATATTTTTTGAAAATACACCATAATTTTATTTTAAATGAAATACAATGTCAAAATATTAACATATGGTGATATAACCCTTCTTGATTAATCAACAGATTAAAGCAACTTCCAAACAGATTTATACAATCATTCAAAATCACTACAAGTTTGTATTGTACATAAATTTCAAACTATCGGGTAAAAAAAAAGAAACTAGTTTTCTCCTTTTCTACATATTTACAAGACAAAGTGTAAATTCAGCATATTACAAGACTTGAGTTATTAAAACACCCTAATACAATAAAATAGGTTACAAATTCAAGTTACAAGATTTTGGTCTTTAAAATCCAACAAGCCTCCAAATA